GCTTCAATTCTAGACAACATATAAATTACAAGTACAGCTATTGGCTTCCAATGGAATGTTGCTTGTTGATGTTATTTATCAACTATAAATCTATAACTGATTGTACAATAGTATGTGGTATTATTTCCTTGGAATTCAACCTAACAGGCACTCCACGTTCAGTAAAGCGTTTTGAGATTTCAGTAATGTTGAGAAAAGAGGTTGATAAATAAAGAGGTTCATAAATAAAGAAAATTATTATAATTATAATTTAAAAAATTATTGGTTTTCTTCACGGAATCCACTGAGCTGGATTTCAGCGATTTTTCACATTATCCTTTATTTATCAAATATACAAGTGACATTCTGTATTTCTGCAAAAGGCAACATTGGGAAGTGGCACTAGATGTAGTGTTAGTGGTACTAAAGGTAAGGTCAAAGATCAGGAGAATTAGTCTTTGGTTAGATGCATGATCTTTTTTACCTTTCCGTAACGCACACCAGCTGATGAAGTGTCCCTTCCTGCTGGTGATGCAATAATTCTTTACCACAAAAGTATTGTACTATACTAGTACAATAGTATTCCGCAATTCTTATTTACATGAGAAAACATTAAAAAAAAGTCATAGATTTTTATTTCCACAGCTCAAGTCAACTTAAACTAAAAGTCAATGACATAGGGACACAATCAACATTGTAACTAAATTGATTATATATTTTTCTTAAATATGGTTTATCAATGTACTGTACAGATTAGCCCCCGCCCCATCCACGCCCCACTGCTCCTTTTCCATTGTGTCTAACAGCAGTTTAACATCATTTGAAATGTATACTTCACAATACACATTGTCACCCAACAGCAAGTTGAGCCTATGCCGACTGGGGGCTACCATCCCTGCAGATGAACATTTAAAACACTAAACACTTTCTGCTGTGGCTAAAGTCTGCATGGAATGATGGTTAATCTTTGACGACCAAGGGATGCTGGCTGCATCACCTTCAACAAGTAGTACATTATACATGTTTAATAAATAACAGGAAGGTTACACAGTGAGAGTTCAGACTCTCTTGTACTAAACATGGGTTAGTACAGATTTAAAGTGAAGAGAAAAAGCTGGGTGTGTTGTGTTTCCTCAGTGGAATACATTATCAGGACAGTGGATCCCTGCTTGGAATAAACCCTTCAGATGCCTTCAGTGTCCTCCTGACTTTCAGCTTGTTTCCAAAGAGACATGTTGTGTGCCAGAGAGCATTCATCAAATTAGAACAGAGAGAAAACAATGTGAAAACCGACGTCTCTCCGTGGAGATGTGCCGACAGGTTATCACAGAGAAGGTGTCTCTCGCTCTCCAGCTCTGAGGCCAAAAGCATACAGCTCTCTCCCTAAAGAGAATCCCTCCACCCACTTCCACCTCCACTCCTTTTCCCCTTCACTCTGTTTCCCTGCACATCCCTAGTGCATTCAGAACAGAGGTGTACAGGTGCGGTGCAATAGCATATTGTGCCACCTGCTCGATGTCGACGTCAACAAAAGAGTGGCATTGGTCGATGTGCAGTAAAGCATTGGTGGGCCACAGAGCTGTAGATAACCGCATGCAGCAGAATAAGGTTTGCTGACCAAGCTTTAGTGAGCACGTGATGAACATGCGTTGGGTTGGACATGTCATTATAGACGACCATTATTATTGCACAAAGATCGAAGCCTGCAGGACGGTGCCAAAGAAGGCAGTAGGTCCCCTATTGCTGAGTAAGGCTGGAATTTCCTGGTCCACATCCTCCTTGATGGTTCAATCAGTTCAGGAGACGAGGTCAGTCAATAGCTGTATTTTACTTCAGACTGTAAATTCTTCTTGTGTCCTTTGGTATATAAGCCTTGATGATTCCTAAAGACCCCTTAATGATATATATATATATATGTGTGTGTGTGTGTGTGTGTGTGTGTGTGTGTGTGTGTTATGCTGATTGTTCCCCGAGTTCTCAGTATAGGAGTGGTGTCACAGAAACTTTGAGAAGGTGCAGATAAATGAGCTGTGTTGTGAGTTGATCACAAATTCTGTGCTTTGTTATTGAATTAATGGCACTCTGCAAACCCCTGAGCATGTCACAGGTACATGATGCTTGTGCTAATATGTAGTTGCCAAGCTTTCCTGTGGGCACGATGCTTTTGCTCTGCTAAACTAATGATCCCTCCGAAAATTGAAATACAGTTGCTTTATAATGGAAACAGCTGCCAGTTTTGGAAAGAGACCCAATTCTTTATTTTTAAGTCAGAATGACAGCAAGTTTGAAATATCACATGCATATCCTATGTTATCTAGGACAGCTAAAAAAATCTTCAGAAATTTCAGTGTCCTTCTCTTGGCATCTTAGCCAAGCTACCTGTCAGTTTTCATCAGAGTGACTAAATTGCATGGTAAGCCCCCTCACAGAGCCCACTGTGGATCTTCATGGGTGAGAAAGAAGCCAAGTGTTAAAGAAGGATACCATGAATTCATAATGTTATTGGATTTCAACCAGGTCATGACCATATCAGAGTGTTGACCTACACACTAATCCTAGAAGGCAGGCTGGAGCCCAGTAAGACATGAATTTATTTTAGTGCTTATTTAGAGGCTTAACCTGACCACAAAGACACAGCAGATGTATTTAGAAATGCAGCATCAGGTTGATGTTTCCATCATTGAATCATAGAATTGAAAATTTTGAAGTGGCTTATGGGCTTGATGGCACTACGATTACACAGACCTTTGTCCTTGGAGGATGGAACGACTGTGACGTGTTTCTATGGTACCTTTGTGGACACACACACACATTTATGTGTGTATATATATATATATATATATATACATATTTATATATATATAGTAGACCAGGGAATGACTGTAAAATTCCAATACCACTGTAAATTTAAAGAACGGTCTCCCACAGTCAAACAAATAGTACTAATCTTTTCCACTTACTTAGTCAAGACTTTTAACCTAAGAAAGGTAACGCTGTATAGTAAAAGTATTTGCAGTAACTTCATTTACATTAAACAGTAAATACCCCAAGTTGGGTAGCCTTCCACAAGAAGAGGTTTTATTTTGGGATGTATAACTTTTTTTAAGCTAAGCTTATCATGCTAACCAAACCACACACAAATTTTATTTGTGTCATTTATGTTTTAAGTCTCATTAATACCTGGGTATTAATTTGCTGGGTCCATTTTTTGACTCATTGGAGTCTTAAAAGTGTCACAATGGCGTGCAGTGGGAAGAAGAAACCACTAAATATTTCCTTTGGCAAATTAAAAATGTTCCGTGGGCTGAGGGTTTTTTGGGGTATTTTAAGGGATTATTATTAAAACCTAGCTTCAGGTTTAAAGCCTCCAGCTGTGACCTGATTGAATGGACAGACAGACAGACAGAGTTGACATATGAACAGACAAACACCTTCATTGTGTAATTTACAGGGGTTTAACCCAAATCTACTACACCTGCATCTCCCTGCTCACTGTCCGCCTTCTGCAAATAAGTCTGAAAAACAGGGCTGATGAAAGAGAGAGAGGGTGAGAGGCAAGGGATGTGGAAGGCAGAGAATGAAAGTTGTAAGGTAGGAAGAACTGAGAGTGAGTATTGATTCCATGATTCTCGTTCTTCTCTCAGTGAGTGCAGAGTGTCAAGATCTCCTGCCAGGAAAAACAAATCACAAGGCTGAAGTGATGGATGTGGCACTCCAGGATCCGGCAGTTTTGCCATCTGGATGGCCGAGGCTGTATATCAGTCTCATGCACGGCAAATTAAATTTACATTTGGACTTCTTCCCCAGGCCTCGCTCGGCACAGATGCACCAAAAACAGCTCTCTACCACAATTCCCTTAATGGGTTTGATCTATGATTTCCAGGCCTATTATGTAAAGAAGATGTTCAGAATGTCAAAATTATTTTACAGTCGCAATGGAATTACATTATGTGCAGCCAAATGGATGTTCAAGTGACATCACCTTCAATTTCCGGGGATGACTCAATACTAATCCAACTTGCAGAAGTATGTCACTGCACAGGCAAACACCAGTAAACTAACAGCACAAATTAAATAAAAGACAATGTTCATTTTCATGTTTTCAAAACTAATGCATCCCTTGTCCCTGATAATACTCCAGAGTAAATAAGTAGATTTGTTTTTCTCTATGTGTATTTAGAGATTTGGAAATATTAGCATAAAAAGCACGAGGCTAAATATAACCAAACACCTCACCCAACCCCAAAGAGGCTGCTGGAGAGTAGTTAAGTGGAATGACCTTAAATGCGGAGCTGATCAAATGGCCTGAAGCAGGTCTATAAAAGAACACTGCAGTGTGATGTTTTACAGTGTACTCTTGTCTAGTCTTATGTTTGCCCTTTTCTATCCTTAAACAGTCAAATGTATTGTTTTGGCAGATGTAAAAAGGCAATGAAATTGGTGAACAGGTGAAACAGGTCTGGCAGTAAAATGAAACATCTCTCTGTGCTGTATATGTCATGATCCTGTTTCATTAGATGCTGAGATTTTACTCACACTGAGAGAAATGGCACATTCTAATAATTTGAACCACCATTGTTCTGCCTATTGTTTCCCCACTGTCTCCTCACAGCTTCCAGAGCTGGTTGTCCTCTAAATGTCAGAGATGTTTTGTCACGGCTCTTAAATGTACCTTGAAGGGCTATGCAAAGCCACACACTTCGGCAAGAATTGAGCACATGAGTTGACAATCCTGCCGTGAACTTTAGCCTCCGTTGTCCCTCAGTAATCAGATCTCATCTCTGTAAGCACTCTGTTGCCTGGAAAGTGGTGCAACACCTGCTACGGTGCCAAACAGCGTGTGACCGTGTTGACAGATAAATCCAGCAGCCAAACGGTGTAGCTGCCTGGATTCACATCTCATCTCGTCTGCTCTTTTTAACCTGACTCTCTGGAAATGCTGCCATTCTGTTTCTTGGTTCATTTCTGCAGCTGAAGCTTTTCACACTCTAACCTCCATGCTTTGTCCCTTTCTTTTTTAGACAACTGATGACCTGCTGGTGGCATCTGCCGAGTGTCCAAGCGATGATGAGGACATTGAACCCTGTGAGCCGAGCTCAGGTGGGTTAGGTTAGTCATCTCTTTTTTATTCTACTTCTCTCTGGGTGTGTTGGTTTGTGTCTCTGTGTGTCATATGCCGTTTTCACACTTAATGCCACACCCACTACCATATCAGTTAATATGGTGTTCCATCACATAGTAGAAAAATGCAGCGAATACACTTTCGTTCACAGTGGCTCTTCATTCACAATTGCTAAACTGACTCTTACATTCGTCCACAAACAATTGTCCACAAACAATCAAGATTATCTAGACCCAATGAGTAATGCAGCATTTAAGGTGAGGTTTAAATAATTGTTGAATAACATCATCACAGGAAAATCTGTCATCCAGGACTGTATGAAAATATTTAACTTTTGGTGCAAAACTGTCACATTCACTGCCTGTAATCTAGACTTGTTTTCTCGATTACGGAGCCAATCAAAAGAGGGCTTATGTTTTTTTAAGGAGAAAACCAGAGTACCTGGAGAACCTACAGAGGGAGATTAAAAACAACACCAAGTTACCATGGAAATCGAACCAGTTACCACTGCTCTATCGTTAGGCCCCAAGTATAAGTAGTATTAGGTACTACAATGTTTCCCCATACCTGGAAATCAAACCAGCAATCAGTTGGTGGTTTTGGTAAGAGTACAGTTCTTACCATAAGAGTACAGTTCTTACAGTAAGAAGTTCAGAATAAAAGTGACTGTTTACGTCAACTGAAGTCACTGAGCTTTACATGTTTTCATAGAACAAATCCATCTCAGAGAATCAAACGCTAAACCTTAGCTCCACATTTGTGAGTTGCTTTGTACGTGTCAGATAACTTGTACCTGCACTGGTTCAATTTGCCTTCATGTGCTCGTGGCGTTGGAAAAACGCTGAAATCAAATAATTACAGAAAGGTACATCAGTCATGTTCAGGGCCACACAACTCCCACACAGGATAAAGGAAGGTAAACTCAGAGAGCAGAGAGCTTTTCTCACTGTTGTGTCTGTTAAAATACGCAGTGAGCAGAAGGCGTTCATCTCTGACTGTAGGTCAAAAAGTTCTAAGACAGAATGAACAAGAAAATGTATTTATAAAAATCACACAGGGATTTTTCTATGTACAGTGACAGCACTGAACTCTGAAGTCTTCTTCTTCTTTTCTACCCTTGTATAGGCATTTAACATCATAACCAGCAAATCTACTTTGGTCGTCAAGTTTGAACTCTGAGTTCCAGAGACCCGCAGACTAGGAATTATAAAGCAGTATTTTATATACGCTCTTACGAAACAGCCTAACATGGACAGATTCTCATTGTGAGTGTTTGTTCCCTTCAAGGCCACCAGACTCTTAATCTCTTACCTTGCCAAACATGAAAGGCAATTATGTCTAACCTCGTGCCCAGTCATGAATATAAGGATTTTTAAATGCTTTCTGCAGTGATGAGAACAAAGAACAATTAGATCCAGACTCAGTCCCCCTCGCTCCCCCCTTCTCCATCTTAATGTGCTATTGATCAGTGTGTGGTCATAAAACCTGCACTAAATTAATGTCTGGCCCACGGCAAAGACGATCAACATTCTAGTCTGTCTCTCTTCCTGTGTTGCCTTTTACTTTTCACAATCATTAGCCCTGCTGCAGTTTTTCTCTCCATCTTACTCGAAAGGCATTGAGCTGCCTCTCAGTAGGTGCAGCCAGTGTACAGCAGCTCACTCTGACAAGTGCCACACAGGGGGAGATTGGTTTGTGTATTCATTCACACCAGCAGCTTGCATTAAGACATTTTTTGACAAGGGTATCTGCTAAAACATCACTTGTGAACTGTGTGATGTGTGCGGACGTTCGATCCCAGAGCAGAGGATCCTTCCCCCTCAGTGATCACTGCTCAGGAATTGACACCAGAGCTTCTGGCTCCCAAGGTGGCAGCTGTCTTACACCCTATCCTGATTAATATCTACATCCAGGACCATTCACACAGGCTGCTGAGCACTTACCACATCTCAGATGGTGTTTCTGTGCACAAAGAACCAAATCCTCTGTTGCCTGTGAAGAACTACTTCCTCGTGTTACACCCACCTCCTTTTAATGACACTAACAATATATTATTTTCCTTGCAACATCTTGACAGTCTGCTTAGTTGGCCGACTCCAAAGCAGGGACCAGATGCTCGCAGCTTTGATATCTGTCTTGGCTTTCCTCGACTCTCTCAGGCTTCACAGCATGAGTGTACACTGTAGGATAATGTTCACGCATAAGTGATCCCCAGAGGTGAGCTTAAAAAAAAAGCTTTTAATGTGAGCTATCTATGGCCCAAGGTCAGCTTTAGATCCTCCCGTATATTACCAGAGTCCCGTCAAGCAGCTGTGACATCAAAGTAGCATCAATCATGTAAACGTTTTCACTGCCATGCTTTCTTGTTACAAGTCGTCGGAAGTGGCTAAGCTCTGGACCAGAGGAAATTCAGAAAAGCTGGATCCTTTACTCTATAAAGGCAAACTCACATTTTCATCTATCCCAGGTTTTCTTCCACGGTTTGTAAATATGAGGCAGTTCTGTGTCTCAAGTCTTCTCCTGTAGAATATGCAGTCTGGGTTGTATGTCACAATCATATGTGGACAGACAGATAAAATATAAGGAAAGTAGTAGATGAAAAGAGTGAACAGTACTGCACTGATCCATGTAATGTGATAGTCATCCAAATAGAGCCCAACCACAGAGTACTGTTGATGGGTTCCATTATTGTCTCCACAGTCCAACGGTAGCCCAACAGCATCACCCTGATGGGCTCGAGTTTAACTATTTAGCTGTCAATCACAAACCCTGACCTGTAATGTTCAGCCTGTCGGCCCTGTGTTTTCTCTTCTTCTGTCAAGAACCCCATCACATTTGACAAAATAATAGGAGTATCAAATTTTACATGCAAAATTGCAGAAGTGGGTTTGTGAAACTAGTCACATTTAGATGATGGGACCAACACAAACGCAGTATTATGCCCACTGTGTATCCAATAATTTTAATGACCAGTGATACATGCGTTACTCCAAAGACTGCACGAAAACATAGTCTTGTTTCGCTGTAGCACTATAAATATAAAATACCATTTTAATGCCCAGCATGCAGTAGTGAACACTTCAGCTTCAACCAGTCAGAGGCACACTAGACTGTGGCATGACTGTGTTTGCATCATAATTTTGCATTTGTTTTGCAAAAAAACAAACTTTACTGTTTACTGTAAGAACTTCAGCTGATTGTGTCAGTAGCTCCTAAGATCCCCGTGCACACTTGGAAAAAATCCATGAAAGTATACTTAAAAGTTTACCCAAGAACCTGTTGTGCTTTTGAATATATTTTACATCTAAGTCGTTGTTTTAAAGAGAGAAGTTCATGTTCCACAAAAGTACACATGTGCTTCAGTGCCTGCATGATTAAGCCTCTGTAAATGTCGGCCAATCATCTACGGGAAATGCAACCCTGGGCTTGGCTGTTTGAAAATAGCTATGAGAGTCTGTCAGCCACTGATTTTCAAGTGCCAACCCTTAGCTTTTATGGCGGACGTCACTGGAGGAGGTTGTTGTGGAGCTCCATGGAGCCCAGAGGTACAGACATCTCTGACCAGCCGGCTTCATTTCATGGGCATGATGCAGGTTGTTGATGAAGGGCAGCTGGTGCACAGTGACCCGTGTTCAAGGTTACATCCAGCAACTGTCTTTGTTCCTGGCTGGTTACTGTCTCTACACAGAGCATAAGTACTGGACACTGTTTCCTAGTACTAGTACGGTATATTTAACCAGAGTTTTATTTTTTATCAAATTATATTTGTTAATTTAGTTTATTCAATATCTATCTATCTATCTATCTATCTATCTATCTATCTATCTATCTATCTATCTATCTATCTATCTATCTATCTATCTATCTATCTAATTAAGAAAATTGGATAATGATTGCAAGGAGGCAAACATTTACATGTGCAAGATTTATATAATCAATCAGAATTATTTAAAATAGTCTGAAACATTCAGTAATTTTCATCAGAAATACAACAGAATGCTTATTTTTTCTTTAATTCTGGCTGAATTTTATCTGAAAAAAGAACCTTTCTTAGTTTTCTGAGCTAGATATTTCTAAGATTTCTAATTTTGAATCAGAAGTTCTTTCTCCTTTGAGAGTAATATAAAAAAAACTGTGATAAAATATATCTTGAGATTTGAGATAGTTTCAGTGTCTGGTCTTCAAACAGAACAATGTTCTGAACCTGTCCAGAATCTTTGCTCTTAATGGAATGGAACACAGCAGAAAGAAACACCTCTGGCTGTTTCTGAGCTGATGTTTCATAAAGTTGAAGAACATTTGAATCCTGAGATAAATACATAAATATATTTGTATGTGTTTCTACTAGAAAGTTATGGGCATTTATTTTTACTAAGGTAACATTTTTGGGTCAGACCAGCAAAACTGAAATGTAAACATCTTTTGTAGGGTCCTAATCTTTTAAAATATACTCTAAACCTACTTTAAATACTTTAATTCTAACAATCTGACCTTTGCTGCCGATTTCTCCAGTTTTATGTCCTGATAAAACCCTGGGTTCAACATATAACCCGAGGTATTGTGTTGTACTTAATATCTACTTTTTTCCAAAATACCATCATCTTATTAGTTGCATTGCAACACACAGCAGCAACCTCAGTAGGAGTATTAATATATGCAGCCTCCTTCATTTCACAAATAATCTCTTGGAGCCTTTTTTTTTCCAGCTCCAGTTGCCCTTCACTGTGATTTGCCCAAAGGCAGGTTGAGGTTAATCATCTCTGGTTTCTACTTCTCTCTGTGTGTCCTCTCATTTTATTCTTCCCACAAGCATTTGCACTGACATTAGAAGCTGCTAATATGTTAAACATTGGTTTTAATAGATTTAATCCACAAGTAGAAAAACAATGCACGGACTGAAGCAATAAATCAAAGGGCTAATTTTTTGTTTTTTTCAAACTCAAGTGGAAAACCTTGAGTAAATTATTGTTTTAAAAGTGGCCGAGAA